CCAACTTTGACCCCAAATACAAAAGCACCATGGGTCATTGATCCACGGACCACGGGACACGGGGAATATATATATATATATATATATTGGTTTGTGTCATAATTGACACTTATTTGAGTTCATTTTATTTGTAATAACACATATTTTTAAATGATATTTTTATAATATATAAATATGAATGATAATTTAAATTATTTTAATGAGAAAAGAAATAAAATTAAAATTTTTTTACATTAAAAAAATTAAGACATTTAATTACAATTATTAAAAATGTGAGAGATGATGTAAATCTTAATTTTTTTAATTTTATTAGATGATTATTATTAAATGCATTCACATTAAAAGTGTTCTTGGTTTTTCCCTTTTCTTTATTTTTCTTATATAATTATAATGAATGTGAAGAAATTTTATATAGGATTAGAAATATTAAGGTTATAAAGATTTTAAGAGGTTTTAATGGCTAGAGGACAACTCATTTTATTTAAAATTAAGTATTCTTTAAACATTTAAGTGATCTCAATTTTTAAAAATTATATATAAAGATTTGGACGAGTGATTGTAGCCAATGTGCAACAAAGAAAGAGCAAGAATAAGCCCAATTAAACTTGTGTATTTCTATTTCAACTAGTGTTGAAAGCTCTTAAACCTTTCTTATTATTTGAGCTGTGGCATGGACTTTTAGAGTTTGAGTTTTAAGTGCTTTAATTGAGCATTTAAGAGGGACTTAAATAGTCTTAATTTTATATAATTATCTAAAGATAGAAAACAAAACATAGAATTGAAAAAGATTGACCAAAAAAAGAAAGAAGGACAAGAGTAGCTCTTCAAGTACTCCGTAATATTTACCATGGAATTTTAACCTTTTCAAAAAAAAAAACAATTCCCTATTTTTTAAATTTTAGTTTAGTTGAGTTAATTTTTTAATTCAAAACTAATTGAAATTATTTTAAAACTCAAAACAAAAAATTATCGAAATAGTGAGGAGTACTACACTAACTCGATTAATTAATCTCTGAGACAAGTTGAACCCATTTCTCTACTCTTCCTTTCTTTTTTTTTTCTAAAAAAAAATATATATTTATTTTTTATGTTTTATTTGTTAAAGATGAGTGGGGAAGGATTGTGCTTGGTTGGATTAGGCCTTCTCTGTCCCAATAAAATGGCCCAATGACAAGAGGTCATTTTCTTGATGAACCAATAAAATGGTCCAAAGGGCTTTGTTTACAGTTAGCCCAATAGATTGGTCTATAAATCGGTACCCTGACCAGAACCGTCCGATTCTAGTCTCTTCTAAGTTCTATAACACAGCCGCCAGATGGGATGACTACTCAATCCATTTCCTCTTGGCATTAAAAATGCACTGGAAAGTACGAAAAGCTACCCAAACAAACCCAGATCCAGATATATCTAGCGCCCGGTGGGATTGGGTTACGGTTTAACCAGCTAAGTCATTCCTTATTTTTCACAAAGAAAAAAAAAAATCACCCCTTCGGGGTAATTTTTGTTATTGGAGATATTACAGACATAATTTTAACTATACAACTATTCACCAAAAAAATTTTAACTATGCAACTTTATTTACAACTTGATTTGATATTAAATTAATGAATTATTAAATTTTATATATATAGAAAAGAACCACTTATTTATGAAACATCGAGTTGTAAATAAATTTATATAATTAAGATTTGTGTGTGTAGCTTTTTCCTACTTCATAGAGACTTGGAACTTCCTAATGCTAAATCTGAGATTTTGTTTTGATAAAATCTAAAATTTATTCACATAATTAAAATCAATCAATTCGAATCAAATTAATACCTCCATTTTATGAATATGTTAAACTCTATTTCGTGATTTTTTTATTATTTTCAAATTTTATAAATTTTAAAATTATTGAAAATGAAAATTAAAAGTCAAAAATTTGTTTAAAACAAGTTTCAACACTAATAACTAATAACATAAAAAAAACACAAATCACTAAAATTATAAACTTGTTTAATAATGTTAAAACTGTTTTTGTTTCTACTTCTTCACTAATCGTGATTATATTTTGACAAATAAACATCTAAATGAGGTTTTTTTTTTAATTTACAAAATTTAACAAAACTAAAATAATAATAAAAAAAAAACCTACAGTTATACTATACAAAATCTTAATATATCTGCCACTATCATATGACATTTGAGCTCATTCTCTTTTCTTAGGATCCTTCTGATTCACTTAAAAATAGTGATTCTGTATCTGTAGAAGCTCCTGGGGCAACATTCCAGTATTTGGTTACTTCAGTTTCAACACATGTAATCTCTTCATGATTTTTTCGACCATTTGAATTGTTTTGCAAAAAACGAATTTGCTCCAACTCCATAGCAATTTCTGTCATCCTTGGCCGCTTTTTACCACACAAGCTTAAGCATCTATATGCAAGTTTAGCGACCTTTATAAGTTCTTCAGGTGCAGAACTATCCTTAACTCGAGCATCAAGAATGTTAAAGAGGTTATTCTCTTCCATGGAAAGAATGAAATGAGAGGCCAAACTTCTTTCATCTTCTGCCTTTTCTAAAGAAATTGGTTTTTCTCCAGTTAAGAGCTCAACAAGGACAACTCCAAAACTATAAACATCACTTTTTTCTGTATATTGACTTGATCGGTAATATTCAGGGTCTAAGTACCCAAATGTGCCTTGAACATTTGTGGTCAAATGAGTTTGATCAACAGCAATTGATCTTGATGTCCCAAAGTCTGAAACTTTTGCCCTATACTTTTCATCTAGTAGAATATTTGAGGACTTGACATCTCGGTGATAAATGGGAGTGGAGGCTGCCGAGTGCAAGTAGGAAAGGGCAATTGCAACTTCTAAGGCAATTGTTAACCGTCTTTCCCAAGATAATGGAAACTCCTCATTCTTATCATGTATGTATTGAAAAAGTGTTCCATTAGGGATGAATTCATAAACTAGCAAAGGAACTTCAGTTTCCAAACAACATCCTAATAACTTAACAATGTTTCTATGATTAATCAGTGTCAGAATGATCACCTCATTGATGAAATCTTTAACTTTCTCTTTATCCAATACTTTGGACTTCTTAACTGCGACAATTCTTCCATCAACCAACATTCCTTTATAAACAGTACCTTGACCTCCTTGACCAAGTATTCTATTCTTGTTGAAGTTATCAGTTGCCCTTTTCAACTCCTCGATACTAAATATTTTGGTCTTTTCAACATTACCCTTAGTTGAAGACAATTGTTGCTGCAATAATAAGCCTCCATTTTGTTTGAAGAACTGGCTTCGAAGTTTCAATTTCCTTCTTTTCTTTAACAATTTGGACAACCACCATGCACCAATAACTAAACAAACTACTGTCAACCCGAGACAGCTACCTGTAAACATTAAGGAAGGAGAAAGGATGACTTTGTCAAGAGATCCCCAACGATATCAAAAATTCAAGAACTTAATGCTCCAAATAAATTGGAAGTTTAAATTCGAATCTTGAGGTGGATAGGAATAGATTAAGAAAAGAGGACTACCTATTGTATAAGTCATAAATTATCAAAAGATATATGAGAAAAAAAAAAAAACTCAAAACTTTATGAAGGATTGTTTCAAAAAAAAAAAAAAAAAAACTCAAAACTTTATGAAGGATTGTTTCATAAAGGTATGTGTAATGCCATGAATCTCATATCAATTGGAACTTGTGAGTAAGTCTGGTATATAAGTTTAAAAACTAATCACTACTAATAACATGAATTAAGTTTTTAAGAATTTATGTACCTTTAACCTAAAAAAATTGTTAAGCCAGTGATGAAATGATATAAAAAAAAATAAAAGTTGGCAGAATAAGGGGCTTACCCAAAATCATAAGCCAGGTTGTTTTGTTTTCGCAAGTGTAGGACCCGATGGTATTCTGGCAAGTTCCATGGCAAGGATACTTGTTTGGTTCTTTGCACTCATCAATATCTAGTGGAGTATTAAATTAATCAGAACTTTCCATCGTACCATAAAATTAAAAAAAGAAAAAAAAAAGAGGAACATTGCACAGGGACGGATGAAGCTCTATTGAGAAAAATATGTTCTTTGTTCTACAAATAATTTTAGATGATGATTTTATATACTCTAACTAATTGAAACTTGTTTGTCATTATACAAAAGCATTCCCTAAAATATTCAGAATTAATTACTCCTTCCTATTAAGCTTTAGTTTGACGTAGATTCTAATTTAGAACGTTGATATATCATTTAATACGTTTTTTTTATTCTATTATTATTTTAAAAATATAATTAAAATATATACTAAATAAAATTTTTCATTTAAATAAATATTTAATTAAAAATAAATATAAAATTTTTATAAATCAACTATTATATTTTT